CTCAAATCAATTCATAATCCATTTCCATTTCATGACCCCTTGTTTCGTGTTTCATTTCATTTTTCATGTCATATCAATTTCACATTTACATCAACGGCTCAGAACCTGGCCAACCACTTGTATGAGACAGTGACTCATATTAAACGTTTCCCATTTACATAGATAAACATACTAGTTGTATCAACATCTCAACAGATAAGCATACAAGCTGTATCCACATTTCAACAAGATAAGCATATTAGCTATATCAACACTTCCAAAGAATAAGCATATGAGCTGTATCAGTGGAGTCCATCCCCTATCTCCTCCCAAACAACATCCGGTTTAGAGGTCCATCCCCTATCTCCCCTAAACCGTGGAGTACATCCCTTATCTCCTCCACACACACAATGTATATACGCATAGGTCATATACACAATCAATCAATACATAACGTTAATGTATTCTATCTGTCATACTCTATGACATATCCAATTGATTAGTTTTAGTTTTCCTAATAACATGCATTGTCTACAACAATCACGACTACCCTCCACCGTAGCCCCAAGCAATTATATCTAAGCAGATAATAAGAGCATTAACAGATAAATTATCAATGTTTTCAATAAGTAACATTAACGTAACCAACTCCACTAGGCCGCCACATAATAACCAATTTCATTTTTTACAACTCAATTTCATCAATCCATAACTTTCCCAAATTAATTTATCATTTAATTTATATACAAATTAGGGCATTCTTCCCCATTTTCCAATAATGATCCAATGGTCCATATTTTCACCAACCAACAACCATACCACTATTTTGAAACGCCAAAATACGCATTTTAGAATCAAAATAACAAAAACCCTCTTTTAACATTTTGAAACCCTAAGTCCAAAATTACCCAACTTCAACACTTTATCAAAACAACCAAAAATCTATGTCAAAGGACCATAAGAGTGAGTGAATTCCCGCTACCTCAAAAGTTGACACCCAACGAAGAAGATGAAGAAAACGGAAATACTCCAAATCCGAGATTCTTGGATCAAAAGAATAGCCCTCGACGATCAACAACTTTTTTGTAAAGGCCAAAGATGAGGAAACAACTCCTACTAGATCAATATCTAGAGAGAAGGCAAGGTTCATAGAGAGAAGAGGCTCAAACAATGGAGTTTTTGGAAAAGTAAGAGAGAAGAATGAATGTGAAAAGTGATTGCCAAAAACGCGCGATCTCCGGTTTATATAAGAGTCGCCCTGCTCGAGTGTGGAAAACTCCCGCTCGAGCGTCACTCACAGACTCCCGCTCGAGCGTCAAAAGTCCCGCTCGAGCGGCAGATACACACTTCTAGAACTTTTTACTGAACCAGGTCTTCGCTCGAGCGTCAAGCTCCCCTCGAGCGTCTGCACACAACCTCCCGCTCAGCGTCAAAAACCCCTGCTCGAGCGTACAACACTGCAGAGGAGAATACTGGAGATGGAGAAATACGCTCGAGCGTCGAAACTCCCACCCGAGCGGAAAAAACAACAACAAAGGGGCCCGCTCGGAGCGTCAGAAAATCCCGCTTCGAGCGTGAAAGGCAATATTGGGCAACTACTCTTGCCGATGCAATATACTTGCTATAGTCGGTGGAGGCCCTGATCCTCAGTACCCTCTCAACAAGGTAATGATTTGGGACGATCATCAGAGTCGGTGCATCGGCGAATTGTCGTTCCGATCGGAGGTTCGCGATGTTCGGCTCCGGCGGGACCGAATTGCGGTTGTGCTGGAGCAGAAGATCTTCGTTTACAATTTTTCGGATTTGAAGCTTTTGCACCAGATTGAGACGATTGCGAATCCGAAGGGGCTTTGTGCGGTTTCGCAGGCTGGTGGATCGCTTGTGTTGGTGTGTCCGGGGTTGCAGAAGGGGCAAGTTAGGGTTGAGCATTACGCGTCGAAGCGGACCAAGTTTATCATGGCTCACGATTCGAGGATTCCTTGCTTTGCACTCACACCGGACGGTCATTTGCTTGCGACTTGCAGCACTAAGGGGACTCTTGTGAGGATTTTCAATACGTTCGATGGTTCGCTGCTGCAAGAGGTATGCTGGGTTTGATTTCTTTTGCTTTCTTGGTTGAGTTCGTAATTGAATTGAAGTATTGCTTAATTGTTGTTTCTCTCTTCAGTACAATTGGTTGATAAGTTTCATTTTTTATTCTCTTTCTTGTGGGTTTTCTTTGATTACCTGAACCCATTTTGAAGCATATTTAGCTATGTTATTATAAGCTGAACTTGTTCCTCTGCCAAACGACAGAATTGTTTGAAGTTGTCATCAAGGTATTTTCAGTTCATCTGCTAGCGTTGGCTTAATTGGGAAGAAACAAGTATACTGCAATGCAACAATAGGTGGCATGATTCAAAAAAAAATAAAAATCAAGTGGTAATTTTGTGTTTAACAAGGTTAAATTAAGTTCATATTCCAACCAATCAATTTGAGTTTAGGACACTTCCTTTCTTGAGAGATCTTTATTGCTACTTTGCATTGTGTACTAGAAATTCAATCTAGTACACTTGTTTGACATGTTCTTAATTCAATCGCAGTAATTCCCTCCAGGAAGTGTTCGTTGAGTAAGTGCTTAGTTTGATACCTTATTGGTGAATGCATGTACAACCACCCTCATTACTTGCATTCATTGTGCTAGGTTTGTTCCTGACAAAATGACCTTAGAGCAACAATGAATTGGTATATCAGAGTAGCCTGTCATTTTTTATGAACTAGGAATCTGAGTTGTTATCTGTCTTGGTGGTGCTCTCTCTCTCTCTTGTTTTTATCATTTTATAAAAACAAAATGGCATATAGAAGAAGGTATATGAAAAGAAGACGGATAAGCCGTCAGGGTTATAGTAAAGCACATCGGAGTGCTCTTGAAGGTCATTCATTTTCATATGAGGTGCCACAGGTTTTAGGTTGGGGATCTTCAATGCATGCTATTGCTATCCCCAATATTGATAAACAGTCCTTGGTGAAGATTACATCTGTAACGGTTCAAGGATATGGTAGCATGACTCAGGGTGACCAGTTGTTTTATGGTTTGCTCAGTACTGAAGGTATTGATTTGAAGTCGTCAGCACTGAGAAGAAGCATTCGAAAATCATTTTTGTTTAATGAAGGTTTGGAGAACAATGTGAAGATCTTGTTCCATGGTGTTGTTGGTGGAGATTTCACCAGAAATACTGTATTTAAATTTCCAATTAGAAAATTTAGAAAGGTTGGGAAATTTAATCTTACTCAGAAGACTTTGTTTTTTTTTGTTGGGTTTACAGTTGTTCAACGAACAACATTCATATTTGATGTGAAGTTTCGTTATAATGTATAATGAGTTTAGTTTTAATGTACGCAACTTCAGTTTCTGGTTCTCAAATTGTACTCTAACTCCTTCGGAGTTAATTAATAAAATAAAGAGATTTATTACATCATGCTTACGCAGTAATCATGTTTATTATTTTATTTCATACTTAAAGTAATGGGCTTGGCCCATATGGTTAAGGGCTGCTATTTTCTCCGCAGCCCAATAGGCTACGTTGGGCCTTCAGCCTGTCAGGGATGTGTCATCCTTGCACCTTGGGTTATGTTAACCCAGCCCAATTGATAGCCTACATAATTGACTTTTAAGTCATTTGAAGAATATAATTGAACATTTTAAGGTCTTGTTTTTGTCCTGTCGGACTCTGTTGTGTCTTGTTTAAGACGTAGTAGTCTTCGATTCGTATTGAGTTGTAATCATCTTCCTCTCATTTATCGGGTTGTTGTAACTTGCTTATCAAGTTGTAACTTGTTAAGGCTTTGTTTTGTTTATCGAGTTGTTTTGTTGTTAGTCGGTTCACTACCTGATTAATGCAATTCGAGTGTTTAGTTTTTAAAACAAAGTTCAATCTAATTTACATTGTTGTGTAAAGTGATGCGATGCGATGCGATACATAGAATGTACAAATGTAACACTTTTTCAACAAAAAGAGTTGTTTCATTCCATCATATTTTTTTTGCAAAAGTACATAGTTTTGAAAAAAATAAAACCTGCCTAACGCAGTACAATGTGCAAAATTACTAGTAAAAAGAAAAATAAAGCAAAAAAAGAAGAGCAGCATCTGAATTAGCAAAATGTCTGGATCGGTGCCAGCCGCCTCAAGGCTGAGAGGTCCTCGCCATCTTCCTCGACTGAGAGGACTCTGGAACATCATCACCGTCAGCACCTGACTCTGAACCCGAACCATCCCCAGCCCCATCTCCATCCTGAGACGACTCTGACTGCGGACTCACTGCCTCCTTGTCAGACTCATCATCATCTGGGGCAGGCCCCCGTGAACTAGTCCCTCGTCCTGCTCCCCCTGCTGCTCGGGGAGGTGCTAAAGGACCCCCTCCTACTCCTGCTGGGGCATCTGATGGGCCTGGCATTAGGAAAGGAATCTGAAAAAGGGCAATTCGCCAAAATGCATTAGTAATCAAAATGTATCAGATGCCAAGAATAATGTGCTGTGAGCAATGAATGATTTGCAATGTAGTTGTATCGTGAGCGGTGTATGGGAGTAATGTATTAGGTCAGTGTAGTGTGGGACTATGCAAAGGATGGCGTGTCAAGAAAAGATTTTGTGAAGTGTGGTTTGAAAGAACTTACCAGAATATTGTAAATACCGAGCAGGTCCATGCTCGTTTGCAGCATCCCCATCACCGAAGTCGTCAGCTCCAGGGACTGACTAGTGTACTCAATGGGAGCCGACAAAAATGTTAAAAGTCATTAGTATTTTGCGGGATATCAAATGAAATCAAATGACTGTACAGAATGAAAAGTATAGCGCATACCGGGGTCGAGCCACGAACTCCGACAAGCTCATGACCAGCTGGAGGATGAGCGATGGGAATCTGATAAGTCTCTCCAGCCCGCGCTCAGCATGTCATAGTAGGAGGCAGCTCTGGCCATACAGTCCCCTGTCTCTCCTCGGGACCTCTCCTCGTACGAGATCTGGTCGCTCCGTCTCTCCCTCTCGCAGCTGGAGCCCTCGCTTCCTCTCTCCTTCGGACACTGGACAAAGGTGGCATCAGATGCGTCTGAATAAAGGTCGCGTAGTCGTCCTCTGTGCGGAAGTAATCCGTCTCCAGTCCTACCATGAACTGGATCACCTGGTCGACGGACAGCCTGTGTGTCTCCCTCATCGATAGTGGAGGTGCCGTCAGTACAAACGGAGCAGGCAAGCCCAAGGTCTGGTGTACGAAGCGCTCACTCAGAAACCAGGTGCGACAGATCGGGCCCTCGAAGAGGATGTGGTAGTGAGACATAGTCCGAGCAGTGTGGTACTGATCTCGGAGTCCTAACGGAATCACCTCCCATGGCTGCCACGTGATCTGAGAAAAGAGAACAAACAAGATGATCAGTCTTCAGATAACTAATGTGGGTGCATCAAGTTAATTGAAATAATCTCGTTGCGGAATTACCTCGCGCGCCGTGATCGAGTCGAAATACTGCCGGAAGAACATGAAGCTCTCTCGGGTCCTACGACGGAGCTGGCTGTCGTATACATTAGAAATGGGACTGTCGTTGGGGTCTCCTCCACAGGCTCTGGAGCAAGTGTCGGGAAGTATGCGTATACCCACAGCTGTTAGAAAGATGTGATCAGTACAACGTATGAACGTATAAAACATGCAGAAAGTAGAATACAGTACAGTGCATAAGGAGTGCAGGTCTAAAGCAGATATTAGATTTTGTATGTGCAGTGTATGGTATGTAGTGTGTAGCATGTATGATGCACAGAAAATGCAAAGCAAAAAGCATACAATGTAAGAGCAGATACAAAAAATACATAAAGTACAAGTGTTGGACAAAGCAAAAGCAGGGAACGCTGAGCAAGGCAATGAAAAGGGGAAACTAGGTTGTGTACCTCCCAAGCTCGCCAATAGCCGCCGATCAACCTCCCACACATCTGAGAGGTCGAGCTCATATATCCGTAGAGGGTGGTAAGGCCGGCTGCGCCCCAGTCATAAAAACGGACCCACTGGAGCACCACCAGGGCACCCAAGAAGTACAAACCCACGATATTCCACTTGTTTGAAAACAAGGTGGTACCGAAAAGGAACAGGAGGAAGCCCCTAGCATACTGCTCCGCCTCCTCATCGGTCTCGGGATCCTTCCCTCTGTAATGCTCCTTGAACCAAGTGTATCTAGCCATACCTACTTGAAGTATCAGTGGACGTGCTCCAAGTAATGTATCCCATTCGGCCACCCACTCCCATGTCAAGATCAAGAGGAATCGGATCACCTCTTACGCCCAGGCCAGTGATCATGGTGGAGTCAAGAGGAGTCATCGTCATCTCTCCCGCCGTGGAGAAATGGAAAGAGTTGGTGGTGTCCCACCACCTCTCCACAATAGCCCCTAGAAGAGGGCGACTCGCTGTGACCTGCGTCAGGTTGCAGCAAAATAAACCAAAGCCGGTCCCGTCGATGATCTGGTGGACCCTCGCGAAAAGTACATCATACCAATCCCAAGCAGTCGTAGCACCACAACCTCAGAAAGAGCGGGATCCATCTTGTGGAAAATACAGTTCAAGACAGATCAGAGGTGTATTGAAAATACAGTTCAGATGGATCAGCAATGTATTGAAAATACAGTTCAAGACAGATCAGAGGTGTATTGAAAATAAAGTTTAGACGGATCAGCAGTGTATTGAAAATACATAATAATAATAATAATAATAATAATAATAATAATAATAATAATAATAATAATAATAATAATAATAATAATAATAATAATAATAATAATAATAATAATAATAATAATAATAATAATAATAATAATAATAATAATAATAATAATAATAATAATAATAATAATAATAATAATAATAATAATAATAATAATAATAATAATAATAATAATAATAATAATAATAATAATAATAATAATAATAATAATAATAATAATAATAATAATAATAATAATAATAATAATAATAATAATAATAATAATAATAATAATAATAATAATAATAATAATAATAATAATAATAATAATAATAATAATAATAATAATAATAATAATAATAATAATAATAATAATAATAATAATAATAATAATAATAATAATAATAATAATAATAATAATAATAATAATAATAATAATAATAATAATAAT